TTAAAGGATTTCCCCCTAATTATACTTTATGGAGGAACAGCTGATTGGTTTGTGGGGGAGGGTTGGTAAAGTACCTTGGTTTTTGTGAGTGGTTCACAGTGAGTGGTTCACAGGTGTTAAGTCAGTTGCATTTAAATGGCTAGCTATCAAGTGGATAGCTATGGTGGTGCTCTCTGTGAGAGCCCAGAGGGCACTCACCAGGGGTGTATCCCCAGCCAGGAACACAAACCACCCCACGCAATCACGTTGACCCTGTGGCAGGAACTCCCAGTCTGCACCAGCACAGTTTTACCTCCACGCCAGGTGAAGAAGATTGGGGCTAATCAGTGGCGCGGACTATATCTGGAGGCCGGGGGTGGACCCAGAGGAGGGTCACAGGAGCCGGGGCAAGGAGCCGCAGAAGGAGAGGTGGGGGAAAACCACTGGGTGGAGGCAGAAGAAGTGGCGACACCCTCACCGTGAGAGTGAAGTGGAGAGTGGAAGAAGCGGGGCAGTGGAGGGGAATCCGGGGATAGCCCTGGAAGCAGCAGAGGCGGTGGATCTACCTGAATCTACCTGCTACAGCATTCCTTTTGGTTCTTCATGGGTTTTTTTCTCTTTCTTCCACCTCTGGTCAGGGAGTCTGGATGAAAGACAGGTGCTTACCCCAGGGAAGAGGAGCAGGGACTCACCCTCTGGGGGAGGGGGAGGGGGAGGGGGGTCACTCATCTGGAATGCTGAGAGCACACTTGTCTTCGAATGTACCGAAAAGGCTCTCTCCCATGAGGTAGTGCTAGATACCCCAAACTCTGAGCTACCTTTTACCTTACAGACAGATTCTTTGGAGAGTGCACTGGGTGCCATGCTGTCACAGGAGATCGAAGGAGCCTCCTGTCCCATAGCCTATGCTAGCCAGAAATTAAATCCCCAAGAAAGAAGGTACACCACCATTGAACGTGAGTGCCTCACCATAAAATGGGGCATTCAGTACTTCCAGTACTACCTACTGGGGCGGGAGTTCACCCTTGTCACCGATCATGCACCCATAAGGTGGCTGAAAATCAAGCAAACTGACAACGCCCGCATTACCCAGTGGGCTCTAGCCTTACAGCCTTTTAGTTTTAAGATCGTGTACCAGCCCAGAAAAACTAACACTGTGGCTCATTTCCTTTCAAGATGCCATGAGGAGGAAGATAGAATGGATTATGGGGTGACGGACGTGGATCTGGTCATACCAAAACCCCAGGGCATAAGTACGCCTAACAGTGAGTTAAGGGGGAAGGTATGTGAGAGCCCAGAGGGCATTCACCAGGGGTGCAGGGGTGTATCCCTGGCCAGGAATGTGAACCATCCCATGCAGTCACGTCGACCCTGTGGCGAGAATTCCTGATTTGCACCAGCACAGCTTTACTTCCACACCAGGTGAAGCAGATCAGGGCTAATTGGCGGTGCGGACTTTATCTGGAGGCTGAGGATGGACCCAGAGGAGGGTCGCAGGAGCCGGGGTGAGGAGCCGCAGAAGGAGAGGTGGGGGCTAGCTGCCGGGTGGAGGCAGAAGAAGCGGTGATACCATCACCGTGAGAGTGAAGCAGAGGGTGGAAGAAGCAGGGCACTGGAGGGGAATCCGGGGACAGCCCTGGGAGCGGTGGAGGTGGCAGATCCACCTTAATCTACCCGCTGTGGTGTTCCTTTTGGTTCTTTGTGGTTTTGTTTTTCTCTTTCTTCCACCTCCAGTCAGGTAGTCTGGATGAAAGATGGGTGCCTGCCCCAGCGAAGAGGAGCAGGGACTCACCTCCAGCTATCTTCATAATCGAAGAAGGGCAGGCAAGACCCTGAGCTGCGAAGATGGCATCTGCCCGGCTGATGATGTCTGAGGGAATCCCCTGCCACGGGAGCAGCACTTGCCGGTAATTAAGTCCCTGCTATGCAGCTTGAAGGTGCCGGGGAAGAGATCCGGGTGGGGAGAGTTGATCAGAGAAGAATCCGGGGCAACGACCCCAGGTGAGCGAGCACCTGACTGGGAAGACCCCTGAGGCCAAGAAGCCCAAAGGTCAAGGACTCTTTTTTCCTTTAAAATATATATATATATATATATATATATATATA